AATAAGGGTACTAATTTCACTTGGCATGCAAATCAATCATACTTACATACTTAAAAACTAATTAATCTAATAAATAAAATCACCTGCTAGGTAATATATAAGGCATGTGTTTTCACAAATTTGATTTTAAATTGATGCGATTTTGTTTTGTAGTATTACAATGAACATCACATAGCCCATAGCCTAAGCCTGTGCCTAGGCCATATATGACCACTTATAAAAATGTAGAAAAAATCGCATCAATTTAAAATCAAATTTGTGAAAATAGTTGCCTTATATCTTAACTAGCAGGTGATTTTATTGGTAGATTAGTTTGTTTTTAAGTGTGTAAGTATGATTGATTTGCATACCAAACCGAAATTCTCGGCTAGGCCTAGCTGTACACCTAGCCGATACGCAGTGTGGCTAAGGAAAGTTTTGTTTTTCTGAGAATGTGCAGATGTGCTTATCTGGCTCATTAGCATAACAATACCACACATAAGGCTAATTTAAGTTAGAAGACTTAAACCTGCCAGTTTCCTATCCTGGTAACAGTTACAAGTCCTTGGTCTACCTGGTGAAACTTTCACTTGCAATGTATTTCGTGTTAAAAACATATTTATACCCTGCTGGAAAATGAACGGTTTTAAGTCACCCACAACGCATGCACGTGGCTCTGCAAACACAGTGCTTGAGATTCGGTTCCCTAACTCCCTGGTTATAATTAATACATAAAATACTGTAAAGCATATTTGTTGTTAACATCACAAGTTAAATTGTAATAGTCAAAAAAATAAGGTAGACTTAGGCCTATACATATCTCGATTTGGAGAGATGAAGATGCATCTTTATAGCCTAGAAAAATAATGTGAGTTAACAACCCTAGCCATGCTTAGCCTATGTCTATAACTGAAATATCTTTGTGATAGCTAATTCAAAACTATTCTTTTGAAGACAAATTCCAACATTTAAACACCTTTAAATGCTATCTAAAGGTCATAATTTTCTATTTTTTTCTTACACAGGGAGGGGGACACCCCTTCCCCTCAAAAACCCACCACCACTAGAGGCCACGACAATCAGCTTTCGCAACAAGTTCTATGCCTTCCATTTTGGATGGCCTATTTCGTTTTTTTGGCTAAACCCCTGTCTCAATTGTATATCCTTGAACCACTGACCTGTACAACCCCAACAGCGAGAGGCAATTAATATTCTTAAAGCTGTGCATTTTGAGACTTCAACACCAAGATGCCCAATATGAAATGGTTTGACAAACTCACAAGCAATCTATAGACCCTAGGATTTCAGCTGAAAAAGTGTAACTACACAAATGACACACTGAGAAATAGAGGCAGACCATCAGAGCCATCATGTACAGATTATCAAATTTTCTTTGACAAAAACTGTTGTATACCCATATATAGTCATGATGTGCCTATATATGGTCATGATATGATGTCATCATGACCATATTTAAGCATATCAAATGTTTCTGTCAAATAAAATTTGCTAGTCTGGACAGGGCAATGCGTTACCTGTCAGCTTCATCCAGCACAAACCACTTGAGACCACTAAGATCCAGAGATCTGGTGTTCTGTACATGGTCCACCATTCTTCCTGGGGTAGCTATCAAGATGTTGATACCTTTACGGATTCGAGCCTTCTCTGCTTTTTTCTTCTCCCCTCCCATTATACTACCTGGAACAATCCACTGAAAAGGCTACAATCAAAAAACAAAGTTAAGGAATATTGCTGTAAAGATCAAAACATGTTAAAATTTACATAAGACCTCACAGCTGAGTATGGTAGAGCAGGTGGTTCGTGGTCATTGTTGGGAGGGGGAGGGGCATTGAATAATCTTTCAATGATTGTCACATATTTTATTAGTGAATATTATTTAATTATTGAATTGTACTGTTTAGGTTTAGAGATGGGGATGAATCTATGATAGTTAACAAAGGGGGCCAAGCTTGATTACAGAAATCTATTTCTTGGTTCCTATTGTAATTCATACCATGTTGTTGTATAATGTATATTTGAAATGTAATGTAAAGAGAAATAAATAATTATGGTGTATGGGAGCAAAAATATTATTAAATTATGTTTCATTAAAAAAAAAGCCTACTTACATATACAAGCTTTCTGAATGTTTCAAAACTTTGCAATGCCAGCTACGAAAATTAATTGGAAAAATATAAAAAGTTATGAAATTAATACATATTAAAATAAAATCATATAAAAAAATCTGAATTTATTATAGTGTAAAATAAAATACTAACCTCACGAGTTGGGACTAGAACCAAAGCATGTACACCATGTGATCTAGCTACAGGGGGTTGCATAGCTTGCAAGCTTTGAACTATAGGAACAGCATATGCTAATGTCTTTCCTGTTGATAAATAACAAATGCAAAAACAGTGATTTTCATAACTTAATTAACAATGTCTCATAATCTTGAAAGCTCCGATGAGGGCAGTACAATAGAGGCAGTAGAGTATAATGGCCCTAACAGCCGCCATACAAAAAAGATCTATTAATCAATCAGCAAAAAAGATCAATCAATTAGAGTATCGATCAATCAATTAGGGTATTAGAGTTTCTCATCGGAGCTAAAAAGATCTCTTAATCAATCAACCGAGTGTTTCTAGAGCTTCTCATCGGAGCTAATTATTAAAAAAAATATTTGGCCCTAACGGCCGCCCATACAAAAAAAGAGAATGAAAAAAGACCTATTAATCAATCAGTCGGGTAATCCTAAAGCTCCTCAATCAGCTTAGTGTTTCTAGAGCTTTTCATCAGACGTAATGGCCTTACAAAATGGCCATACAAAAAAGAGAATGAGAAAAGATCTTTTAATCAATCAGCGCTCAGCCTGCACTCATCGGCGACAAAAAAATTATGTATTAATCAATCATCTCCTCCTAATTAATCCTCATCGCAGCTAAAAAAAAGAATAGGGAGCTTTCGATTGGACGGAGCTTTCAGTAGGACAGAGAACGCAATTACGTCACTAAAAGTCATCTGCGTATTATTATTATTATTATTATTTTTTTTTAATTATTTTTTTAGCCACAAAACACATGCACCAAGGATTGTCAATAGTGAATATTATCACTGTCCTACTTTGTAGGTGACAATCCCTTTCACAAGACAAACATACACACATAATGCTTTACACAAACTAAATCTCAATATGAGGTTTAGGGAGTGGAGTTGCTTTGGTCGTCAGAAAAAGTTGTGCTACTGACAGGAATTGAACCCATGACCCTAGCTGGGATAGGAAGGCAAGCATCTCAACCAGTAAGCTATTCAACTCCACTCCAGAATGTTAAGGTCACCTCGTCAAGTAGATTCTGGAATGCAATTTGGCCAAATCTACGTATGCAGAGAAAGTAGGACACTCGGTAGGATGATCATGATTGAGTGATTCTGTTCTAGCGTAGTGTCGTCGCACAAATCGGAAGCTCCCTAATATGCCCATGCACCTCTGCAGTGGACAAAAAATTGAACTTTCCAGAATGTCAATTAAAGATATCAACTGACTATTTCAGAACAGGGCCAGGCATATGCGTGTGTTGTACAACCACATGCAGTGTTGTCCCAGGACACAAACGCATGTGTCTGCGTATGTTTCTACACTGCAGTTTCTTTTGTGGGACCTTAGCAAAAATATCCAAGGGGCAGAGTTTAGCGGAAAGATGCCTTCTCTGAAATCATTTTAAGATTTATTAAACTTTGACTATAGAGCTTAATAGCAAAGCCCCCCTAAATCAACAGGTAAGGGAACACTCCAACAAACAACCCCAACTGTTATGTGTTGCACAAGTATAAATATGTTATAATTAAATAATAAATATATAATATATGTGGAAAAGACAAGCCAAACCAGTCACTCGTCGCAAAATTTTTTGAGCTATTAATGCAGTGTTAGAGAGTAAATTAATAGCTATAAAATGGTAAAAAAATCAAGTTACAAGCGTTTAACCACACAGCTGTTTAAAGAACAATATATGAGAAATTATGATTTCAAGCATTTCTCATGCAGAAACTATCTTTAAATCCTTAAAAAGTATTGTTTTAACATTGAAAATGGGGAAAATAACAGCATAGAATGATGTGTAGATATATAAAGGTTAGTTTGGTGCAATAAAATAGATTTTTTTAAATTTGACATTCCAGCATGTTTTGCCATTTTCTCTGAAACACGAATTGCGATGAGTGACTGGTTTGGCTTGTCTTTGCCACATATAGTATAAATATTGTTCCATGAACATAACAAAATTTCATCAGTAAAAAAATCATTTTTGAAATTAAATTGCTCATTTTGAAGTAATATAAACATAAACTTGAATATATAATTTAGTTTATTGAAAAAATGTTCACCCATAATTTTCCAGCGAAAAATGATAGAAACACTCCCAGTCACTGGAAGTGTTTTTATTAATTTTATCACTATCATGTAAAAATCTGGGTACACATTTTTAATGTCTTTAGTCAAGTTAATAATTTGTATGTAATTGCAAAATGAGCAA